GAAACAGCCTTCTGCAGAGAGCTGATGAACATGCTTCACCCTCAGAGTCGGAGGACCTCTACCCAGACAAGCTGCAAGACCACCGTGTGAAGAAGTGGCCTGCAAAGTGGCTGCTGAGGCAGAGGTTTGAGGTCCAGCTCCCCTGCATCCACACCTCTATGTGTGAGAAAGGCCCCCAGAGCCTTTCAGGCTGAATCCCTCTCCCTGTCCAAGACCTGAGTATGCATGCGGACCCCCTGCTCTGCCCTGCTCTCCTATGGGGTGTGAACTTCAGTTCTTTACAGAGGGCAAACTTGTGGAGAGGTATTTTAGCACAACAGGCCAAGCAACCTTGAGCAGGAACAAACTATTTCTAGTTTTGAGCAATTAATTTCTAAAGAAATATTATCTCTCTAATATTGATAAGGCCTGTTATGTGGGAAAAATGGTGTAATAAACTTGATTTATAATACAGAGAACTGTTGTATCCAGCAATACAAAAGTATTTTATAAGCATTTAAATCAAATGTACTATACAAAAACCCTAGGCAGTTCTTAAGTGCATTATAAACCCATTGCAGAGATGGCAACGAGAGGGAAAAAAAAGAAAATAAGGATTTAGTTACTGGAGGGAATCTCATACCCAAGGCTCTGCAAGTGGGATATGAGGAGCTGAAATGAAAACGAAACCCCGAACTAACTTTCCACAGCTTTTTTTATTGGGCAGTTTTAAAGTAAACTAATTCTTCTTCCTTGTTTGCAAGAAAATTCCATTCCTCAGATGCCAACTGCCCAGCCACATCTTGACCAGGAATGCTGTTCCCTGGCTGATGTAAAGCTCCACTGTTCCACAAGAAAAATGAAAGGGGTTTCAACCAGGAAGGCCAAATAAATTTAAAATGGCACATTTACAGTGAGGATGGCCCTGCTAAAAAAAGCCCGTAAGAACCACCCTGAGCCCCCTGAAAACTAAATCTGAGAAAAATCCACGTGGTGCACTGTAAGGGCATTAACAAGAAAAGGACGTTTCTGTAGCAGGGTTTAAGAATTCATGCTTCAGCATCAGCTGGTTGAGACGACACGGAAAGCTGTGTCCAACTGCCTATGTTTGTTTAAGACCATGTGACCTGGCACAAGTTTTAATTAATCTTCATGAGGTGGGTAAATTCATAACCACTCAATGAAGTGGCAGCTGGCAAACAGAGTTATCTCAATGTGCACACACACACGCACACACTATTTTGAACATAAATTTTACACATCGAAAAAAGAAAAAAGAAATTAAAAAAATGGAACTCCTTACTGTGGTACTAACCATCCTAGCGGATGGGGGATTTGTCCTACAGTGCCTGGTGATAATGGATAATAAGGAGATATATCTGGAGGGTGTGGAGGCCTTGGAATTCCTATGGAAGAGGAACATAAAGCAGCATTAGCATTGAGACATGGAAAGAAATAAATACAATGAAAAAGCACATACGTTTCTAAATTGCTATCTATTAATTTTTTATTACAATACTCATGACTTCGTTTTGGGTTTCCGAAGACTTATTTTATAAAGTGAGCCTCCTGACATCTTGTTAAATGAGATTCAACCAGAAAACCTGATGCCATTCTCTCCTCAGTCACCCCTTAAATAACAGATAATTATTCTGTTGTTTAGATTGAGAATTTAGGAGTCTCAGCTATAGTTCTGGTGTGCTAGGTGCTGCCTTAAATGCTCAACAGAAAGACAGGCCCTGTATCAACCTCATAGTTATTTTAGTCTCAAAGTCAGCAAAAGACCACAGGTCCTACCCATACATTGACTGGGTACTCAAGAGCACGGTGTTATTCCAAAGTAACCTCCAAAATGAGTTACAAAGTCATTATAATTGAAAATTATGTTCACTTTTGAGCAAACGTAGGAAACCTCTCCCGAAACCTAGGAGTGGAGGTGAGAGCTGCTGGAAATGCTGGGTATAATGGTGGGCAGATCTTAAAGGTGTTCAGAGGAGGACAGAGAGCCCATATGACCCCTCTGAAACTGGTGCAGTTCCTACTCGGAAAGCAGAAACCAGCTCCAGATACAAGCCTTAAATCTTAACTCTCCTTACCTTAAAAAGCAAGGAGGAATTACTCACAGGAGTAAGAGTTACAAGACTGGCTCCTTCAATTAACAACCCAGAGCACAATTATACAGAGAGCATTGAAAGGAAGGGTACTGTATTCATGGCTAAAAACTATTTTTTTAAGTCACTCGGGAAGCTTTTAATCTCTAAATTAAATCTCCTTGTGTGACATTTTCATGCAGACATTGCTTTTTCTCCATTACAAAACCCAAACAGATTAACTGGGCTTTAACCATCCGGCGAGCTATTTGCACACTTGAAAGAACGTTCACAGAAGAAAAGTAAACAGTCTGCAGACGTTAATCATATATTTTACGATAACCATTTAAAAGCTATTCCCTGTACTACCATTATTTAAATGAGAGGTTGACTATGCCATTCACTTGCAATACCCAGGGATGGTGAGATGGATTCCTTTTAAGCCACGTGAAGTTAGCATTAAGCACAATTAAAAAGGGGCCCCCAGTTGAAGCGCAGGGAGCGAAAACCAGCTAATGCACGGTGTCATTCAAGGGCTGGGGTTTAGATAAATTATCTGCACACGTTAGGGCCGACACAGAGCGATTCCTTTGACATGAATTCAGTTTATGATGTACTTTGCAATTAGCTAGCTGGGATTTGGATTAACAAAAACAAAACCACTGTCACTAGGATCTCAATGCAGCCCGAAGAAAGAAGATTGACACTGTTTGACTTCTCTGGGCCCTCAGGTTAAACAGGGACTCTTAAAAAGTTAGAATAACATGTAAATTCTACTCTGTAACACCAATAAATCTAGCCAGGGTTTTATGTGGTGCTCTATATTCAAGAAGACTGCCCTTCAGGCTGAACTGAGAGTTGGGTAGACTTACATTGGGGAAAAGAGTTGCAAGTATAGAGCTGGAGCTAAGTAGTTAGAGTGGATGAAAATTCAACATTATAGGAGAAAAATGGCTGAACTCCTGACACAGAAACAATGGGATTTAGGGAATTAAAAGAGATTCATTTTGAAACTGGTCATGACCCACCACCTTTAAAATTCCAGCTGCAATTTTGTAAGTGCAGATCACAGAACGTACATGTTTAACTCTCTAGGTCGCGTATGCAAACCAAGCACCTGGTAGATGGAACGACTAGGTGGGGTATCATGCTTGCAAAGAAACACACCTGCGAACGACCCCACACATGCAACTCTGGTGTCACCGTGCAGCAGCTTTATGAAAATTCACCCAGCAGGTTTCCTTCTGAAGCCTAATTGGCTTAAAAAGGAACTTTTGTTCCGGTTCTTGCATGCACTTGACATTTTACATCTCCCCTTTGGTGCTCCAGCATGGGAAATCTTTCCTCCTGCACTCCTTAATATACAAAATGGAAAGATCCACCCACCCACTCTCAAAAACCCCAAAACTACTTCCCACCTACCTGTTTTGGGATCTACGTCGGCTGGTAAGTGTGGAGGAGGGTTTCCCGGTGTGAAGTGCTCATTGCTGTACGTGATAAGCGGCGTAAGAGGGTGTACATGGTGTGGGTGCTGCACAACTGGCACTTTGTTAGACTGTCAAGAGAAAAAGGTTGGTGGCGTTAGGAGCGCCAGGTACTCCCCACCGCAGCACGAGGCACGACACAGAAATCTGAGGAGCCAGCATTTCAACACGGTCCTCAGACTTTTCCAGATCCTTCTCGGTGTCACCCTTGCAGTTTTCCCACCCTCTTGCTTAAAACCTCCTCACACACTTTCCCTGCTCTTGAGTTTCTTTAATCTTTTTGACCTGTCGTGCTCCTGTACAGAGCAACAGCAATTCTCTAAATTTTCCCTTTCTATTTTGTAATCTAGTGCTTCACCTGGCAGATGCAAGAAGACTCCTCAGCGAGGGGCTGACAGAGTCCCCCATTTAATTAGCAAGAGACCCAAATGCTCGCTGACCTGTAGATCTTCTCCTTTCCCCTTCCTGTCCTCACTTTCAGTTCTGCATTTTACCGCTCATTGCAAATACTCCAGATAAAAAGCCTTTGTAGTGCTAGAGTATTCCCTTCATCAGCAAGCATTAAGCTGACAAGCGATCACCTGCATATTTTATATATATGTATTTTAGAAGAGACGATTAATTATCAATTCATCAGAGAGCACTAATAAATGGAAACTGGATACTGACGAATTAGGCTGCTAAAATATTCAGCTATATAAATAAAGGCAAAAACACAGATAAAGCCACTGAAATTAACACTCTTGTGGGGGAATAGCCACGCAGATATCATGAGGTTTTCCCTGTGACATTCCTAGCTCTCGGGGGAAAAAAATCATCTTTTTCTTAACAACAATTAAAAAAAAAAGGAGTGAATGAATGAAAGGAAAAGGCAGGCTGAACTGTAACTTACCCTTACAAGATCACAAAGAAAAAATTAAGCTGAAACAAGCGAACTGCTGGACCATTTACTGCGAGTAATCCAATTGCAAAAAACCCTATTCCCCATAGAGGATTTTCACTAAAATCCTACAACAGGGACATTTAACCAGATTAGGTACCAGCAAAGATAAAGAGGCTGGTATTAGATGATGAATGGATTAGAGTCAGGTTTCATTTTAGAATGTGTCTTCATTTCCTTTTATTACTTTAAGTAAGGAACAACTCGCATTAACATCAAGTCAAAGGAATCACATTAAAACAAAGTAGTGATACCACAGCGGCCTCCGATAGCGCCGCTGCCGTTCAGAGTCTGCCAGTGCCTTCCTGCTCTCCCCCCCCACCCAAGAACAGCTCTGACCCTGCTGCTTGCTCCCCAGCACCCCCAAACACGCGCCCTCACCGAGCCACCTCAGACAAGTTCTTATCTGATCTCGGTTCAAATGCTCTGAGCTTCCCTTAAAAGCATTTAAAAAATAATTCAGTTATTGTTTAGGAATGCATTTCTAGACTGGAGGCAAAGAAAGAGGGAAGACAGACTGAGAGCTAGGAGGAAAAGAAACATCAGCTTTCTCCAAATAAACAAGAAGTCCCTCTACCATGCCTTGGTCAAGCTAAGCTTTGCCTTTGGCTTCTCCAGCCACCCTCACCCCCAGCCCCAGCCCCTGCCATACACAGCTGTTTAATTCATCCTTTTGAAAACATGCAAAAATAAGAGAAGCAATGCTTATACTTGTGCTTTCCACAACCTTTGCCATGTTGACTTCTTTTTGTAGCCGTCACACGGAATGATTCTCCTCCAATAACACACCCGTGGCACAGGAGGGTCCCACAGCAAGGGGCCACCACACAGGACAGAGCACGGTGGTGACAGCCAACACTATGAATTACTGCATGTTGTGCTGGCTGGGTTGTAGGTCAGGTCCACTACCAGTTGTACAACCAAGGCCAACTTTTGGCCACACAGACCCATAATGGTTTTGCATCAGAGGAGCTATGGGGATTTGGCCCCTTAATTCAGAAAGCCGAAAGAGATGCTCTAACCCAAAATCTGTTCTCTTCCAAGTGAACCAACCTAAGCAGTCCGACAGTAACGGAAAGGTTTGGCAGGGGCTTCAGGTAACAAATCACATTACACACCACGCAAACTAGCAGGCATCTACTCAGCAACACAGGACAAGACATGCCAAAGGACCACTTGATCTGGTTCACAAAAAACAGTCATTCCCAATAAGAGGGATTTTTGCTGGTCAAGAACTGAGTGACCTCTTGCTGTTAGGTGACCCACAGCGTGGCTGGTAGCTGCTGTAGCTCTGTGCTCTTCCAGCTCTATCACTGCAAAACCCCTCACCCTGAGCCTGACAGACACTGAGGGCCATCTTCCACGGAAAGCTTATTTTCATAGAAACTGAAACTGGTTAGTTAAAAAAAGTAACTAAGTGACAGAATAACATTAGAGGGTCAGGCTTAAACCGACAAACAAGAAACAAGATGTGAGAGGAAAGCTGGACTTACACGCTTGTACCACCAAAGCCAGATACACCATAGGGGGTTACATGTAAATGGTGGGAAACTACCACCCACTGCTTTGATATACCAAGACCTCCCACACTATCTCCACAAAACGGCACGAGTGCTAAATTATTATGTGATTTACCTAAAACATTTCAGAGAAAAATAAAAAGCAAAAGCAGAAAAAAAAGAATTAAAAATCAACAACCAAGACTTTGAACCTTGGTCTGCAAACTTTTCCCCAGGTAAGTAATTTTTATTTGGGTGATGGCCCTGCAGTCAGACACACAATTCATACAAAGGTACTGGAAGTAAGGGTAGGACACTTTTTTGCTACTCTGATGATGCTGGAGCAGAGGTGTGGGGAGAATGTTGTGGAGGGGGGAAGGGGAGACTGTCATCTACATGCTCAAAAATATGCTTTCTGGGACAGAGGAACGTGACCCCCTGCAAATCACTCTGTGTCTGCATCACTACCCCAGGCCAGGTTTGTATTCTGTTTATCACACACGAGGAAACGCGACTGTAGCTGCTCAGAATAGCACGCCCCATTCGCAAGCCAAGCTAATCACGCATAACATGCTCTTTAAAAGCAGCATTCCTGAAGTTAACTAAGCTTCCTTGGAAAAGAGAAAAAGAAAGACTAGCTGGGAAAGAGCAGGATTAATCCCGCACATGCGTCTTCCTTTGAAGTCAATGGGAGCTCTGCCTGAGTAACAAGTGTGGTCCTAACCCCATCCACCGGCAATGAAAGGTAAACCACAGAAGCCATCAATAGGAGACACCTATTAGATGACCTTAGCCACCCCCCTGCAAAAGGCCCTTCTCCAATATACATCTGCCAGTACTTTATCAAGGGTAGTTTTAAGCTAAAAGCCATTGTGAGATGCAGGAATTTCTCTGGCAACTTGAAGAACTCCATTTATGGCTGTGTCAGCCACGGAAAGGAAAGGGGAGCCGCGCTGGCACGCACAGATTAGCGTCAGGGCATGTGGTAATAGGACGGGAACAAGTGGAGATTTCTAGCGAGAAATCCCAGCATCTACAAAGTACCAAGTCATCTGCAGATAAATCACTGCCCTCCACTGAAAGCTGGGGTCTCATATGCTGGGTTAGAGGGCACGGTAAAGAATTGCAAAAAAACAAAAGAAGTTTGCTTTTCTTGATAACCCCCGCCTGAAGCAAACCAGAGGAAATTGTCCCCATAGGGACTCAACTACTAAATCTCTCTATATGAATTTGAAATGCTTCTGGGAGTACTTAAACGCAGATGACTTTAAACAATAATGGAGCTCTGGAATGAAAAATACCGAAACACAACAAATTTTGGACTGATACATGTTTGAGAGGGATACTGAGAACTATTTAGCCTGAGTTCTGATAGGGAACAAAAAAAATAGCTGAACTGATTTAAACTGCAGGGGACTGTGTGTATAAATTGCTGTGTATTAGTCTTTGTTGCGTGGTAAGGACATTTCATTAACAGGATGAAAGATGCTTCTATGTGTATACAGCCCAATTTAATACACCCCACTGATGAATACTCCCCATTTATTGAAGAAGTTAATACATGCTGTATAAATCAATAGTTCCTAAGTCTCTGAAAGCAACATAAGACTTGCACGAGATGAAACATTGTATTGTTGAGCACACAAAGAGAATCCAACCTTCAAATAGGAAGAGTTTGTTACTGCAATTTCTGTTTGCAAATTCATCGTTTGTTTGGCTTTGGTAATAAAAACATGGTATCAACTCAAAGTCAGAGAAAAACATGCCAGAGGGGCCAGAGGATTTGTCCTCACCAGGCTAACGTAGCGTTAGTAAAAGCAGGTCTGCAAAAAAGAGCCACCCAGGCTGCAAACAAGCCGTGATGCCACTGCAGCATCACAGCGGCCAGAGCCTTCGGCCTGAGACTCTGCTTTGCTGCATTCCCAGCCCAGCAGCCAAGGGCAGGGCATGGGGGATGCTCCTGCCCCAGCCCAGCCCAAAACTCTGGCTGCTGCCAGCAGCAGCCAGGGAGGGACCCCCTTCCCCGACCCAGGGCAACCTTTAAAGTGCACTTAAAAGCCAGAAGTCCTGCTCGCCAGGCAGCGACGGGCACCCCACGACCACCCACAGTCGCGAATGTGGCAAGGAAAGGACTGCTCAGGCACTTGCACTCCGGACCCCCAGAGCCCCCTCCCCTTCCTCCACTACAAGGGAAGAGGAATAAGAGCTCACCATTCACCTTAAAACCTATTAATCAACAGACACTGAAAACAAATGGAGCTAGAGCTCCGCCTGTCTTTTTTGCCAGTCCTCCTCTTCCCTGTTTTCCCCATTGCTCTCCCTTTCTGCTGAAGAAAGATGGGCTCTGAAAGTGCCTTTATGGGCCTAATACAATAAAACAAAAGCAGCACAGAAGAGGGTTTGTCACCCTTTTCCCCTCCTCCAGGGTGGATGCAGAAGGTCGACAGTAGTCTTGAATTAGCAGGCCTTCCTGGAGTTGCTCCCTGGGATAAGCAAAGGGTATCATTCAATACCAGTTAAGATTTAAAAAATAGGTTTATAACTTGTCTCCCTGTATTTTCCAGATGGTGCTATTGCAGTTATGCTGACTGTGGCCAGTGAAATGCTAACAGATGCTCTTGAGCTGCTCTGCAGCTCCAAAGATCCTTGTAAGAGAAGAGTTTCTTTTTTTTCTAAAGGTTGATCTCCCCTTGGTTCTGCCTAGGAATAACACATCCCCCCTCGAATCAGGGAACTAAGCTGCAAGAAAAGGCAACTCTCAAAATACTGCTGCACGTATTGGAATGTTCCTCCCTTTCCCACCAGGGTCACCAACATCCACAGCACAGCACCCATCAGTAAGCACCACTCCGGCCTCAGGATCACCCACAACAGCAGCAGGTTCGGGTGGCACCCCAAACTTCAACAAGGAAACTGCAAAGCGTTCAGGTCAACTGAAAAGCTGAAGCCAACCAAACCCACCAGCTGTGTGCAACTGGGTCCTCAGCTCCTTCCCGAGCAAAAAAATTCAATGCCAGTGATGCAGCATTTCCTGAAAACATCAACGATTTAATTTTCCCCAGCTCTGTTTAGCTAGAGGAGTCACAGTTTATTTTTTTAAGGATGCCTTCACATCTGACTAAGCATTTTCTCCTGTAAAACTACTTCCCCTTGCTCCATTATGGCTGATACAGTGGCCTGAGCCCTTTCCCAGTTGAACGTAGCTGATTTCTGCCTAAGGTCCTGCCCTAAGCTAACAGCCCATTGTGGCGGCAGACAAGGCCTCCATTGATAATCACAACTCACCCTGCTCAAAAAAGGCTCATTTTCTTCTTTCACACAAATGATGACAGGAGCACTGACAACCATGTGCTGGGACAATAACCCCCCCAGACAGAGCTTGACAAAAAAAACCCACCCCCCCCCCCCCCCCCCCCATGGCCCTTGCCTTAATAAATAAATAAAACAAAAAAGGAGGGGGGGTACACAGACTTTTGCATCCTGCTTCTTCCCCCTCCCTCCCTGACCACTTCCCAGGCCAGTGAGTGCCTACCTGCTTCTGCTTTGGCTGCCCAAAAAAATCCCCCATGCTCTATTAGCAATCTCAGAACCAAAACAACAAAATCAGCTTCCTGGCTTTAAGTGCCCAGCGATTCATTAAAGAAAAGCATAGTTCTCTTCTTCTCCCCCACTTTAACTATGACGAAGTGCCCCCTGCATATCAGAGCACTAAACCACCCTGCCTGACATTTTCGGCATCCTTCCTGTCAGGGAGCGAAGGTACTGAGGGGAGGGGGTGGGGAAGAGAGGGTTTAAGATGTTCAGGAAATTTCCACTTAATTTCGCCAAAAGGCAATTATGTGAAATGATCTGGCGACAATTAGCATACGCCAAATCCTCTAGCGTAAAAGGGAAAGAACTAGGGTTTAGCTATCTAATTACTGCCTGGTAGCTCTTATGCGGGAGAATTAAAAACACCAGCAGTGAAACGTTGCTATTAAGTGTGCTTACACTTTGCTTTCAAACTGCTGTGGACTGTAATCTTACTGCTACAGTATCCGAGGTGGTTTTTGTTTTGGTTTGGTTTGTTTAAGTTAAAAAAAATAAACTTGGAGTTTTAAATACAAGTGAAGTGCTGCACCCTTGGACCATGTGAGGTCGTTCTAATGTCAGACCCAGCCATGCACCTGCTTAGACACAGTCGTGTATTTTGAGACCCTTTAGCATCACTTGGAATTACACTGATGCCAGTTAGGTTTTACCTCACTCATTCTCTTAATGCTCTATTGCTAAAGTGGTCTGCTGCATGTGCTCTGCCTCACCGTGGCACACAGATTTGGACACAGGAGTTACCCCAGCCCATAGCCCAGGAACCGTGGCCTGCACGTATCTGGCCAAGCCTTACGCTGTATCTCAAAATTAGGACGATTTGATCAACAGGTGGATTTCCTCATTTGAGGACAGGATAGTGCTCAGATTCTCTATGTTTCAGGCACCCAGGTGCCCAGATCTATTTCTTCCCTTACAAAAGGAGAGGCACAGTTTCCTCCCCAGCCTGACAAACGCTCGGTGCTTTCTTTGCGTACTTCAGTTAATTACAAGGCAGATACTATCTCTTTAGAGCAGGCAAGCCTTCCTTCATGTCTAACAAGGCAACAAGCAGAACGACTTGGCATATATTAGACTAAAACCGAAAACCACTGTTTTCTTAAGTAGCACCAGTACAGGGTGTGCTGGATACCTAAGCACCAAGCAAGGAGACTGTGAAACCTGAGCAGGTCTTCAGGAAACGGTCCTGAACATGAAGGGGGTGGAGAGGGCAGAGATACAGAGCAAGAATGCAAGCACAGCAGTTTAGAAAAGATGGGAAGAAGGGAGAAGTGAATATAAGCAAAGTTAATATAATTGCCCTGATAGACCTTATTTGTTACGTGCTTTGAATGAATATCTGGTGATGCACTTTTACCTCCTGTCTAGCATTCTCTAAAATGCCACATTATAAACAGCTTTAATTATTGCATATAAATCGTGTATTTCAGCACTACATAGACATATAATGTGGGAGAAACAGCTCCACTGACTTTGTTAGGGTATCTGTAACTTCTATCTACAGTAAAAACTTCAATGTGAGGCTGTTAAAGAAGTGCAAGGAATGAAAAAAAAATAGCATGCATGCCTATACCCACTTGTATTTGGCAATTTCAGTAATAACAGCACTATTAAAAAACTAACATGCATATACATGCCTTAAGACACGATGCCAAGTTTCCAGTACATATTTTTAAAATGCAGTATTCACAAATTATAGCAGACTGTGCTCAATACCAATACACAATACATGTTGCAAATGCATATTAAATGGCTTAACAAATAACAAAGCTCTAAGAAAGGGTTTCATTTTTTAATGTGCTACAAACATTACACACTGCCACAGAAACAATTGAGCAATGAAATTAAGTAAATCCAGATCAGTTATTTCTCGAATAAATTCAACAAAGTTTCCCTAAAAATGTGATGTTAAACGCACATCAGAACAGAAACTCCTTGCAAATATTTCAGTAGAAAAGAAACGGGCACATTTACACAGCGCTGTCAGGCCTTTCGCCCCAAGTCCCAATAAAAAGCATTCCTCTAAAGGTAAAACGCTTGTGAGATTTCACCACCAGCCACGTAAAACCTGCGTATGCAACAACATGCAGTGAAAGAAGCAGCATCTAAATAGCTGTCCTTCTCAATCAATTCATTTCAGATGAATTCTACAGAATTTTATCCCTTGCTAATACAAGAAAAGGCAAATAAATTAACTAAGCTTCTCAGGCAAAGGTAGCACAGCGTACTGAAGTGACAGAAATCCTGCTCCTGGCTCTCTAAGCAAGCTTGGCAGAGCTAGAAAACAGCAAAAAACTCAAGATTCCCACAAAATCTTCACTGAAAATGCGATGCTTTCTAAAATCCCTAAATACATTTCTGTTTTCTGTGCATAACTACAAGCAATGTACAGAATTGGCTCAGGGGTAGGTTTACCTTCTGTAATATATATTAATAGGAGAAAAAAGTCTCATGGACTTCTGATAACAAACACAGAACCACTTGTGTCAAAACACGTTATTTCATATTTATCAATATTCAGTATTATTTTCCATAGTCCTTTATCACTGGGTGACATCATGTTTATGTAGTGTCCCTAAAATTTTCGTCTTTCACATTACAGCTGAGCTTTCTGAAGAATTCAGAAAATTTAGCTGAGTGTCAACCAAACACAGACTCAAAAGCACTCAATTAAAAACTACTACACAGTATTTTAATAATAAAAAAATCTCGTTTTGTGTATGACAAGAGCTAAATCATTTCACCTCCAAACCCCCTTAACTGTAACATATGTGCTCTGCTACAAACCAACTTTTTCTCCTTAAAAAAAACCACCAAAACCCAAACATTTTTACCTTCATGGTTTCAGAGTTAAGGAAATATCGTACTGAACTGAAGCAAGCTTTGAAGTGGCCCCCTCTGCCCCAAAGGAGAAAAAGGAAAGAAAGGCAAAGCTAGTGATGTCATGGTCACTGTGTAAATGTGTGACTGCGGATGCAACGCACAGCTCCTACACGCGCGCACACTTCTCCCTCGCTGCTAACCATTGTTCAGCATTCAGAAACCAGCTCTGAAACCTGCTGTACACCAGCCTCTGAAACAAACCCCCCTCAAGCACACCCCGATCCCACCCTGGCTGCACGAGGAAAAAATTCTCCCCCCCCCCCTCCACCCTCCGTAAACCAAACCCCAAAATCAGGCGGAGGGAAGGGCAAAGAGGAGGAGTGCAACAACTCTGCCCCGCTGCACCATTGTGTCGCGACAAATCGGCGTTCTGCCGCTCGCTCCTCGCCACTGCTGGAAAATCAAAGTGTCATCGAAAAGTCGCGCTTCCCCCGCCTAAAAAAGACGATTACCATAAAAGAAATAAATAAAAACAACGTCGCTAACAAAGGTCACAGCTGGAGATGCTTGCTTGATTTCTCCCCCCCACCCCGCCTTTTTTTTTTGATTCTGCACAGGAGGAAAGAAAAGGAGAGGGAGAGAGGGGGAGAGGGAGAGGAGTCACATCAGAAGTTCAATGGTCAAGACGGAAAGCGCGCACGCAGAAAGTGCTACTCACCCAGCAATTCAAATTGAGATGCCAGCAGCCGAACTGCTGGAAGAGAGAGAACCCAGAGGCAAGCGCTCCTCCTTTACCACTCAAATCTTCCATTCCCACTAAAATTGCATCCCTCGGGTACATAACAGCTTTGTCTTTCCTTCTCTTAACCTCAAAAAGTTTTTTCTTTACTGTCTAGATGCCAATTGTGCTGGCTTTGTATTATTTTCCTTGCAGCTTTTCTCTCTCTCTTTTTCTTTCCCTGCTCCCTCCCTTCACTTAAAGTACTGGAAAAGCTGTCTTAAAAGATCAAGATGTCTCCAGTTTTTTGGCCTGGTGTTTTCTGAATGCTCAAAATCCTCTGTCATGTTGGCTGTGAGAAGTGTCTTATTTCTAAATTGTCGGCTGTGGTTATCAAAATTTAGAGAAGCCTCCTCTCTTTTCCAATATAGCACTTTACCATCATCCTTCCAGGGAGTGGGGAAAAGACTTTCCCCCCCCCCACGCAGGTATGTCTGCTCAGAGCAGCTAAAAAGCAGTTACCTTGGAAATCAATGACAATGCTACTACAACCCAGGTTGCACAGGTACTACTAAGTGCAGCGAGGAAACGCCGGCCAGCCGTGAGGGAGCATGATCAGCTAAGTGCAGCAAGCAGTCACTTTATCTGCAAGATTGTCAAATCCCTCAGAACAAATTTCTTAGGGGGGAGAGCTGTAAGGAAAGTATATTTTCTTGTCATTGTAACACTGAGGTGACATTTGGCAGACCTTTACCATTAGCTCTGGTCTCTCTCCCCCCACCCCCCTTTAGCATTTAATATTTCTGTAAACCACTGACCCCACAGTAAAAGCGATGCATGAGGAGCTTCGAGATCACTAACGTTACGGTGCCCTGGCTATTGTACTTCCTCAAGCTGCTCCTGTGTGAGAATAAACAGGGGTACCCAGAGAGCATCGCTGAGCAGAGCAAGGGTGAAGCCTTCTCCTCTGTGTCTCTCTCTCGCCTTCAAGAGTCGAGAGACGTCCGCTTCCTAAATCTGAGCCAGGTACCGAGGGCAAAGCACAGCATCCAAGTTCGCCAAGAGTCAGCTTCTCATCTCTTATTTATCCCTTTCCCTAAAGTTGCCAAGTAGTTACTCTGCAACAGGGGCAAAAGCCACAGAGGGTGGCTGAAAAGAGAATAATTAGGAAACCATGGGCATCTCCTTCCCCTCCTCACTTTCTGAGTGAGTTTGTTACTGCTGAGGGATGCTGCGGGCGGGGAGAGCGATCGCCATGTGGGACGGCTGCTCCTGCGGACGAGGCACGGAAGGAGACCAGTTGCTAACACTTGTCTTCCCCACGCACATCTGGGCGGCTCACGCGAGTTCACCGCTCCTGACCCCCAGAAGAACAAAACAACAGGGCGAAATAAATACAGGGGAAAAATTAAAACGGTTTCAAACAGGGAGCGGTTCCAGGTTTGCTTTTTAAGTGGCAGTTTAATCTACGGGTTAAACAGAAAGAAAACGAAAACAAAACAAAACAAAAAGCCAAAACAAAACAAAATGCAAACTGGAACTCGGGTTTCAGGGCGAAAAAAAATTAGGGGCAGGTGAAGGAAACCGGGGAAATGTGCGTGTTTCGTGCCCGCCCGAGCTCCGTCCCCCCTCTCCCCGCACCGCTCTGGCCTTCGCG